GACAGTTAATGTGCTGACATCTCTGTTGTGTGATGAAATTAAATTTTTTTAATTGTAAAATTTTTTTTTTAATTTTAGTTGACATTATAAGTAATTTACCATATTGACACTAATATATCGTAAATATTGAATTTTTTTCTGTTTTTGTTATATGTTAAATTACTTATAATTTTGTTAAACATTGTTAATTACTTATACTGTATATACTAAAGCTTACAGTAATTAAGAATTTAATGAGTTGAACAAAAATTGCTAAAAAGACAACGATTATGAATTAAAATTGTAAGATATCCTTTACTAATTGACATGAATATAAAAATATAGTGATAATTTAATGCAATTTACCTACTATGGAGAACGAGTTTTTGGATACTATTAAGGATACACCTGGACAACTTAGATCCGTTGCTGTACAGCCGGATATCACAATCTAACATTTACATTAACTAAGTCTGTAGCGCCCCCGAAGAAGTAACCATAAGGTGGGTAATCGATTCCTGCTCCCTTTCGCCGCAGCAGCTTCTACTGAGATTTCTTATGGGGTGGCTCACCCTTCTTGTAATCAGACAATCAACTCGTTAGGCCCTTGTTGCAGCACCGTTATCCTCCTACCTGATAGAAATCGGAAAGGCATTGCATTGTAATTAGAGAAATTTTGAATTAGAATAACATCGAATTATTGTCCCTCTTCGAGTGGAGAAAAATTTTTTAATCAAATTACAATTTTTAAAAAATATGCAAATATTTTCAAATTATGTTTAATATTTTTTTTTGATAAAATATTAAAACAATTTATTGATCATATGTCAAATCATTCAAATCGTTTATTATGATTAATTTTTTCTGTTTGCATATTTTTTTGCAAAATATCGAGGTAATTATTAATTACTTTGTCCTTGTACAATTTTTTTTTTTTGTAAAAGGTGTTCAATTAATTACAAAAAACTACGATCATTTTGAATTAATTTTGTTATATTTTTTTTTATTTTAGTATTGTAGTATCAAAATCAGCAAAAATAATAAACAATTAATTAAGTTGTTTTTTACGATATCAACTTAATAATTTCTTGATCGTTTCAATAGAAAAATATTTAAATATTAATTAAATATTTTTATACTTAATTATACTTATAGTAAAAGTTTGAAGTGATTATAACTAAGTTTTGGCTCTAATGGTACGGAATTTAAAAAAAAAAAAATTTATAATTTAATGTTAAACACAAAATTATTGTATAAAGCACCTTAAGCTAAGTATATAATTGATTTTAACTATGATTTTTTGATTTTTATGTACGAGTACAATATATATACACTATCATAAATTAATAACCAACTTTACTTTATTTATCCTCCTGTCATCCTTGACATGCAAAAAAATTATGATGATAAAAAATGTGTTTGTTGGGTTTTTTTTTGTTTTGTTTTGCGTTACGTTGTCGCTCAATTATTTTTAAATGTCATTCTTTTCCACATATGTATATAATGTGTGTATTATGCATATATATAAATAAGTATATTTTCTTATACATTTATGAATGTATGAATAATTTTGATTCTAGAGAAACGCAATAAATAAAATGAAAACAATCAAGTTAATTTCCAGCCCAGATATCTCTCTCATATGTTTATTTTTCAATTTTCTATTATACATGACATATGCAAATAATGTTCAATGTATGTATGTAATTTATGTATTGTTCAAAAAAAAAGTGTAAACATATACATTATAACAATGTCAAAATTACAATATTTTTGTACAATTTTAAAAAAATTTAGTATGTACATAATTTTGACGCTATTTAAATTTTAAAAATAAAAATTATAATTCACGGTATAAAAATCGTTCACAATATATACGCACTCACTCACCTATACATTTCACCTACAATTTATTGTTTTGTTAATTTTATTTTCTTTTTTTGATAAAATAAACCTGTAGAATTAGAAAAAATAAGAAAAATATGTTAAAAAATTAAAAAATTTTTTAGGAAAAATTTAGAATTTTTGTGTATTTTAAACGGTTTATCTTGAAATGGAAGTAAATATTTTCTTATAGACGGCTATGTACATGATGTACCTATGCATCAGCAATTTATAATGTATAGGATCCTAATGTATAGGATGGACCTAAAGTTACACCACTCCAAATTCAGTGAATATTGTGTAAAATTCTTAAAAATTATTCACGCATCCGTCAACTTACACAAGTTACCTTATCCTTCCTTCAAATCCTTCATCTTCAAGTTGCAGCATAGTTCTTAGAAACTGGAAAAAAAATATTTAATTTCATTTAAACAATATCTTAGCTCGTGTTGTGAATAATTTTGTAATGTCAGAACAGAGATTGCAAAAATTATTGAATTTTTTTTAGGAGATCTCGAGCTCCGTTCGGACTTTTATGAACAATGATTATATTTTGTATATTAATTTAATTTTGTATCTATTGAAATAAGTCGGCAGAGTGCATGCAGAATGATTGACTGCAGAAGGTTATGTTACTGCAGTAGGCGTTAATCTAAATGAAAATTACAATTTATTCATCCAGTGCTGTTTATATTAAATAAGAGTAAGTTACATCATTCAATAGTAACTCGTACCATTTAATGCTGATTTGTAAAAATATTTCTAAACCCGTTCACAGTCTTTCATCTATTTCTCAGTGCAAAATATTTTTTCCGTTTCATATCCTAGAATGCGGCAAATCAATAATCTACAGATGATCGATTTAAAACTTGAAGTCGAATGACCTTCTCCGAAAATTCATTATAAATTTTTTTATACTTATAAATATTTTTTATATGTATATGTAATATATTAAAAAATACACAATGCTGTCCATTTTATATTCATACAAATATATTTCAAAAAGTAGATATTCTTAAATTTAAAAAAAAAAGCTATAGAGATTATTGCAATAATTAAATGTTTTATAAGGGAAACTATGAAAAAGTACTTAAAAACTATAAAAGCACAAAAGGATTTATAAATAATTTTTTTTTACATACATGCTTATACACATAAGAGGGGACAAAACTGAAAAGAAAATCCTTGACAATAATTGTCATGTAGACGTTTTGCTGATGCAGTTTGAGTGTACAATAAATTTACATTAACCTTAGTTAAAACACGTGTTATTTTTTTTTTATAAATAATATTTATTTAAAAGATATTGACATTGCACCTGAAAATTTTCAAGATCAATGTAGAAAAAGATTATTTTATTGTTTTAAGTGATAAATTTGAATATTTTAAGGAAAAATTATTTTTAAACTGGAAGAGTAAATTTGAATAAGCAAGCATTTTTCTTGAATTTAATTAGATATCAACGGAATTTAAAACCTGGTCATAAGATGTAGAAAATTTCTGGGTCTTAACTCCAAACTTTATTTGTTTTCCCAGTTTCTCATGCATAAATCGAGAAATCATACATAGATATCAAATTCAGAATGTCAAATTTGGAATTCCCGCTTATTAATTAGAGTTACTTACACTAGCCTTACAAGTCCGTAAATTTATTAATTTAATAATAATTATAACGTAAGATACTGTATGTTCTCAAATATTTATAACGAAATATTTACAAAATTTGAAGAAACCCTTATAAATACCCTCATTTTCTTTCAAAATATAATAAAAAAGTTTCTTTAATCAAAGTAATAAAAATTTATTTCAATACAATATGCAAACATAAATTCGAAAATACTCGAAATTCAATAATTTATTGAATATTAATTAAAAAATAATTTACATAAAAATTTTCTAATTTATTTTTATATTCAATGTTTTTGTTTTCTAAAACAAAAAATTTTCTTTTTTTAATTAAAATCGTAAAATTTTAATCGGGAATAATAAAAATTTTCTTTTATTTTAAGATTTTGCATTGACCAAATTGTGGGGACTTGTACAGTTTCGGTTGTTTGCTATAAAATCATAATACGAATGTAAATATCGTAAAATTAAAGAAGGAGAAACAAAAATAAATTCTTTGAGTTTATTATAGCTTTTTTGTTGTTGTGTTTTTTTTACTTTAATTTTAATATTTTATTAATTTTACACTGATCTCCTCATAAATCGATGAAAAAGTTTTTAAAACCAATATTTTTTTGGTAAAATAATGAATTTTAATTTTAATATGTTGAATTCTAACGAAAATTTGTTTATTTTTTTTTTGATTTATTGAGAAAAAATTTTGAGCTTATATATAGAGCTTTGTATAGAGAGAAATGAAGACGGCTTGCTTTGGGAAGGAATAACTTAAAAATATTTAGAGCAATTAAGAAATTCTAAGTAATTATACGTAAATAATTTAGACTTATGGATTTAGCAAAAGTTGCAAATCAACTTCTTTGAAATGAGCTTAGCATTAAATTACATCAGTTATTCATTATTAATAATGGCTTATTAACTTTTGATCGATTGCATAATAATAAATTTCATCTCACCGTTTTACCATAAATGCGAGAGGATCCACGATAGGACAACCGCATTATTCCTAATAAGTTCCACTAGTGCTTGTAGACACTCCAACGTCAAATTTGATTATCTAACAATACGTTAATGGTTTTGTTCACATATCCTATACGAATGTTTTTAAATATACAAGGGTCTGTCGCCAGAGCTCAATCTAAAGGCGCCTGAGTTAATCCTTTCTCTATAATTTTTGATCCGTCCATTCGATCTCCGCCCATTCTGGTCTTTGTTTCACCCAACCTTCTTTACTAGAAAATAGCACTTTGAAGGAATTGTCGAAGTTAAATCTTAACTCACACTCGTCCAAGGGCATATCAGAGTAAGCCGAACCTAGTAAAGCCCTCACGGCGGCATAGTCACATTCCTGGCCACCAAAACTTTTAATCCTCTGGGCAGTCATACCAACCTATTCTTGAACTTTATAATACGTTTTGCTTTTCTGAATATTAGCTCACAAATTCTAAAAATAAAAAAAAAATTTTGGTATTTAAAAATAATATTTAATTTTTTTTTTTTCCTTTTCATTTCAGATTTTCGTTTGGACCGGATATAAAAATTTATAAGAATTTTCAATCTCTTTTTTTTTATTTTCTTACTTTTGGAAATTTATGAAAACAATATCTTCGATTTCCGCACGAGATCAACGATATTATACAAAAACAAAAGAAAAAGAACTAAATAGCCAAATATTCTAAAAATGAGAGTGCAGAAATAAAGGAAGAACAAAAAAAATCGATTTAAAAACAAATATTCAATTTAATTTGAATTTAAATTTTTTTTTAATAGCAAAAAGAAAATTATAATCACGTTCAAATTTAAGCTGTTTTATTCAATTTCCAATTAAAGCATACAAACACACAATATTCATTGCATTTTAATAATAATTAATTTTTTTTTTTTTGCATTTTAATTTTGAATTTTCTTATATGCTAAAGTAAATACAACAAAAACAAAAATAAAAGAGGAAGGAAGGAAAAAAATCGAATCACTTATATTATAAGTACGCCAAAATTTAAAAACTAATTCGATTTAAATTGGAATATTCATAAGCGCAAAAAATAATAATAAAAAATTAGCATTAACAAAGAATACATTTAAATATACGCACATTTTGTAAATCAAAAAAAGCAAAAAAATAAAAAACATTAAAATTTTTTATTTTTTTTTTCTTTAAATTATTTTAATATCATTATTTTTTTTTTCTTTTATTATTCAAAACATTAAGTAATTCAATTTAATCGCCGAATGAATATTAAAAAATCTTACATAGTTTTTTTTTATTCTTACATACATTTATGGTGTATTACACGCATAGCATATCAACATTAAATTTATTAAAATAAAAAAAAAAAAAAAATCTAATTAAAATTCATTTAAACTAGCTTGTATTTTTTCAAATTTTAATTGATATCCGAAGTAATTCATTCGTACATGCTTACATTGCAAAAGCTCAATTTGAACTAAAAACAAGAAATGATTTTTTTTTTCAACTCTGCTCTGCTGTTAATTTAATTTTTGCAAATTTTTTTTTCTAATATTAAATAAATATTAAAATAGCATATGTAGTGGTGAATTCATTAAAAATAAATTAAAAATTATTTTTAATAATTTTGCACTCTCAAAAACTGGTTTTCAAAAATCAGTCAAAAATTCAACAATATGTATATAATTCAACACACAATAATAATTTTTCCTACATAAGAGAATATAGTTGAAAGTAAATTTATAAACTGAGAAAAAAAATTTTTTTTTTAAAAGTATATTAAGTGACACCTTTTGACACCTGAAAAAAAAAATCTAATTATTCATTATTTATTAAATCACGGTATTTAACAAAATATGTACATATTAACATACATATTGTATTCGTATTTAAGCCATACACCATACCGACATGCATAAAAGAGAATTATATATTACATTCTACCACATTCATTATAATTTATTTTAATAATACAATAATACTCGTACATTAATACAAAACTGATCTGCACAAAATTTAATACATTTCTGTTAAATGTTAAAATCTGATTTTAAGAAATATAAATATGTACAAAAAAATGTAAAAATAAAATAATTATATGATGAGAGAATAAGTAGAGAGAGAAATATTATTTAAATGTGTTTTTATTTTATATATAAAGCTCAGCTTACAAAAATCACAGTCAGCCGCAATAATATTGATATTGATAATGATAAGAATATTTTAAATTTAAAAGAACAGAAAATGTAATAATAAATAAATAATAAAAAGAGAGAATTTTAACAGAAGAGAGAACCAGTTTTATTCTGCAAGCAAACAATATTCAGCAATTATTATAATAAATTAAGAAAATTTCATAATAAACTCATCATTTATTAGCTGTAATAGCGGTTTTTAGCATGGCTTACAAAATTATTTTTTTCTAAAATTTAAGCCGACTTTAAAATTATATTTAATAACAATAATAACAAATGAGGTAAAAATTAATTGAAGCCGGCTAGTTTTATTAAAATGAAATTATGATTATGTAGTATGAAAATTATTATGCATGAAAAAAGTCTTTATGCATGAATGTTGCCATAGCACTTATTTAATATTATTTACAATTATAATATACGCTTAAACGAAACATTTAAAAAGCTGTAAACAAGTTTTTAAAATTGCGGGTGAATTATTTTATTTTTTTTTATTGTCATTGTTATTTATTTATAATACTTTTTTTTTCTCTTATTCAATTTTCTCATATTAAATAGATGCTATTTGTATTTTTTTTTTGTGATTCAAATAATTTTTATAATATGAAAAAAAAATATTCACGGTCATGGGTATTTGCGTTCGTTGAACGCTGTTATGCATGTACATACATACATCTACAAACCTACAATATTAGACAATTAGGTATATAAATACCTTTTAAATAATTGAATAAAATACTTATATGAAAAAGAAAAAATTATAATAAAATTGTTATAATAAAAATATAGTGATTTATAAATTAAAAATATTAGATAATTAAAAAATGGAGAAAAGAATAAGAAACACAAAACTTCCTATATAATAAAGAAAAACGTACCAAAGCGTTTTACCGTGAATTGCTACTAAAAATATTTGATTTAAGTAAGTGAATAAATAAGTCTTTCTGTTGTTTTTACTTTATATAAAAGTTTTAGGAATGAGATTACCAAAATAAATTTGAAAAATCAACCAAGTGAAAAAATTAATTAATTAATAAATATTTTTTTTTATTTTAAAATTCGTGAATATTTTGTGCAATGATTACACCATTATAATATTGATTTAATTAAAAATGAAAGTAAGGAAATAAAAATCAAATGAAAAGTTATTTTATTAAATAAAAGGCATATTATTAAATTATTAAATAGAAAAAATAAATTTAATTAACTAGATTTTTTTTTGAAAATAAGTTTAATTTTACACACAAAATACGTGCATAGATTCATACTGTTTTATTGGATAATTGAGGACGATGTGATTATTTATAGTTACTAAACCTTTAAACTTATTAAAACACAAATAATAAAGATTTCTTCATAAAACTGCTGAACGGATAAATTGGTGACCAAATCAAAGGAAATTAAAAAAAAAATTTTCTCCTCAAAGTTCAAATTTTACTTGAACCATTGACCTATTGCTTACTAGGCGTACGCTACACCAAACGAGCCACTTGCAATTATAAGCAACTAAGTTGATTTTAAATTGACATGTTAGCGATATTTCTATAAACAGTACAGCGAAATTTGTTATCTCTCTGACGTTGAGAAATTAGTAAATTTTTCAATTTTTACTATGATTATATTATTGAAGAGAGTAAACAAAGAAATTTTTGTGTTTTTTTTTTTTGTGGGAAAAACTTTAATTTCACTTTTTGATTTTTGCAATGTTATTAATTAGCTTGCATATATCATTAGTGCAGTAAACTGAAAGTTCTAGGTTCAGATTAGACTTGTAAAATTATAAATTATAAAATTATTTAATTTAATTTTATGAAATTACATAAAAGTTATTAATAATATTTAACTGCAAGTCTAATATTATTTAATAATACTTAAGTTACTGAACAACTCTTTATCATTTTATTGATTCCAATATCCTAGGATACTGTAGAGTTATAGTAAATAGATCCTGCTTTCGCAAAACAAATTTTATAAATAGAACAGAACTAGTTTGATTTTCAATAAATAGAGCGCAACAAGTCGGACTTACAAGTACAGATTTATCCGACATCAGTTCCGATATTTATGTAATACATATTATAACACATTATTATTGAAATTAATGATATGAAATAATTTAAAGAGTTGACTAATATATTGAATCAATATTATTGCTTATATTATGATTATTATTATTTTTATTATGAATATTCCTTTTTTTCTTTAAATCAATTTCAATTTTAATATAATATTGAATTATTACGTATCATTTATGATTTATTGATTTAAAAATATTTTAAATATATAACAATGTTTACAATCAAAATTATAAAATTAAAATAGCCGTAAAGAAATATTATATTTATTTATTTTATTATTAAACATATTATTACGTGTTTATTTATAGCATAATGATTACCATATAAATTAAATAAATGAATAAGGTCAATAAAATAAAAAATAACTATAAAATAACAAAATCAGAAAAAGAAAACACAATACTAACTATAAACATGTGAGTGAAAGGAAAGAAAATATTTTTATATTTTATTAAAATAAAAATATAAATTAAATTTTCATGAAAATAATTATATTATATAATATAACAAAAAGGGTATATGTATTTCTAAATTTATTTATGTGAAAATAAAGAAAAAACAAACAAGAAAAAAAGAAGAAAACAGAGATATTTATAATGTCGTCACTATTACCGTTAATATTATTGTCATATTATAATTACCGTTATTATTATCGTCGATGTCATCGGACTCTTGTATTGTTTATATTTTGATGATTATAACCGGTTCGGTCGTTAAATACAAGTGTTATAACATAATATTATTGTGTATAATTGAAAAATAAATAAAAATTATTTAAAATTAATAAAGTGTTATTAAAAATGATTGAAAGAAAATGTTTTAAAAAAGTGTTTTAAATAAAAAAAATTACAATTAAAAAATTGATTTTAAAAAATTGTAATTACGTAATATTTTGAAAAAAATAAACGATAATTGTGTGGCCTTATTCAATATTGTTATTGGATAACAAAATAAGGCAATTTTCAATTAATTTAAATTTAATTTTAAAAATTTTTTTTTTTTTATTATTTTAATAATTTTTTTTTTGTTATTTAATTAATTATTAATGAAATTTTTTGTGTTCAGTGTTAAAATATTAATAAAACTTACTTATTTTTAAATATTTATATTTTTTTTTTGTGTATAACACTTTTATGTAATTATAATAAATTCAAAATTGTTAATTATTACAATTATTGCAATTTATTATTTAAAATTTTTACAATTTTATTAAAAAATTTTTAAAAATTATCATTGAAAGAGAATTATAGAAATGATATTATATAAATATAACAAAAATTATTAATAATTGCACAATTATTTTCTAAAAGATTAAAAATATATAAAAATTTTTCATATTATGTCTATGACAAATATATAAAATAGTCTAAAATTTATATAAGTGCATATATACATATATAATATATATGTATAATTAAGTAGTTCTCATATATATGTATAACAATATGTTAATGTACTATTAATTGCTCAAATTATGGAAAAGACCTTTTCATTAAAAAAAAATGTGTATATAAGAAAAAATATGCTTTTTTTAAAAGAAAAATATAAATGTTATATTTGTTAAGTTTTAAAATAATTAATATTAAAATATTTAATATACTTAAATAGAAAAAGCAAAATAACATTATTTATTGATAAAAAAGGAATTATTTTAAAACAAGCAAGGAGGCTGAACAAAGAAAAAAAATTAGAAATTGAATTGGACAAACATTTATAAAAATTAATAGAATTCGAAATGACAGAGGTAAGATTTTATAGATATTTTTATATAATTCATATAATTTTCATAATTTAATACAGGGAAATCTTCTATCAAATATAAGAAAAAATTTTTAAAAATTTTGCGATTAATGGACAAAAACAATGTTGAATGCAATATTTTGGAATCTAATGTGATATTCTTTTAATTTACAATCTACATATTTGCAATAAATATACATGGTTGTTACATAACACTTTCGAGATCTCTTCCAATTACTTCAAACATTTTAAAATTCGAAGTAGACAATTTTCCCCATAACCCTTCAGATACTTTCAGAGAGATTCTATTGATAATATAATAGATATACTGAAATAAATTGCTAAGTCAAAAAAAAAAAAAAATAAAAAAATTTGTGTAAATTTGTTACAATAGTGTCGGAGTAATTTTAGTACGTCCAATATCACATACGTAGAGTAAAAACTTACAAAATCAAATAACCAAAAAAATTTTAAAGCCGATTTTTCTACTAAATGATAATAGTTAATTTTTGTGTCAATGTGATGCTTATAAATGAAAATTCCTCTTGAAAAGAGTAATATTGCTCTATGAATGTGTAAAATTACCTTCACGTCGGTAATTTTACATTTATGCCTAGCAATTTTACATTTGATCTATAAATGGTATTATTTTCCGAGTAAATTAGTAATATTCAATAAATTTTCCATAATACCGTAAATTTACTCACCAAATGAGTAAATTGTTAAAATACTGTAGTAAACTAAGTAATATTTAATAAGCTTTAGTAAAGCATATTTTGTAGTAAATGTAACTGGGGTAAATCCTTTTATTCGAGGACTTTTATTACAGTGGAGTGGAGATTAGAATAGAAAGATCAGAATTAAATGAAATAGCTTAGAAAATGTTTAAGAAAACGTAGTTCTTAATCCGTTTGAAATATAAAGTTATTGAATTAAATCGTTAAAGGTATCAAAGAAATTAAGGCATTTGCAATTTTCCACCGCATCTAAACACATCTACATTTATACAAGTCAACAAGTCTATATTATATAGTTGCAAATATAATAAAATTCTAAATAATTTTCAGACGCTTTTAAATTAAAAATTTATTTTTTTTTTTGTAAACTTTTTCGACTTTTCCCAATTTATTTACTTAAGAAATTTTTTCAATCAATTAAACAAACTCAAAGGAATACTTTATACAGCTATATGTCTATATATTCATACTATAATACTGAATCCTTACTGCTATACAAAAAATAGATTTTAAAAAAAAATTCAAGAGAGTCTCCTTAAAAAAACTGATTTCGAGCATTTTTAAATAAAAATTTTTGTTTTTATCTCTTTAGATAAGCAGGTTTTTAAATCTTTATGTAAATTTTGATGATATTGAGACAAGAAATTATTAAAAGGATTTAATTATTCAAAAATTGGGCCGGGAGGAAAGGGTTGAAAAGCAGAAAAACAAAAATTATTTTAAATATTCATGTACGTGTCTTGAAAAAAATATAATAGTATAGGATAGACATATGGTGTGGTTCAGACAAATGACATTTTAATCTATGCAAATGAGCAGTCTGTGTTAATTTTTCAATAAAGTAACAAGTTAGTATTCTTATATTCCATAACACTATTATTAGACTACATTAAATTATTGATCCTTATAAAACAAAATGTTGTTCGAATATTTGAGACTTCTGAATTTGATTGCTTATTAATGTAAATTAGATCGATTAGATAAAAATTCAATTACTTAAGAATAATTTTCTAGTAAAATCAAAAAATATATTTAATATATGAGTATAATTTCATAGTCTAGTAATTAAGTAATTAAAATGGGTAATTATTATATAAAAATTTTAATTTATTTAATAATTCAAACACAGCACATATTAAAAATTGATATTTCATGGACAAGATATGAAATAATAATTTTGAATATTTTAGGGATAAGAAGAATGAAAAAATTTTTCTGTCTTTTTCTGCGTTGATTACAATCATATGGACTTTGTTTATTGCGTTACCAGTAATTTTGAAAAAGAGAACAAATAATATTTGATCACGTTTTATAATCGTTTTCAAAATTTATTTCATTCAATTCTATTTGAGACAAAAATAATTTTATAAGAACATTTCCTGTAACCAACCTTGAATATTTTAGGTATGGTTCATTCGCAAAGTTCAAATTTGTGGCAATTCTGTTTACACATTTCATCTGGAATATCATTTCATAAATTATTTTCACATGACAACATCAGTCGATTTGAAGCTGATAAATGCAGCGAATCATTCGCTGTAAGTGTAAAAAAACCCAAAGCGTAAAAAAATTTCCCTATACTGTTTATAAAAAAATCGCTAACATGTCAATTTAAAATCAACTTAGTTATTTTATAAAGCTATACCATTTATGAAAATCTTAATGTCCTTCCTAAGTTAAATGTGAAATTCCTTTGAACTTTCATAATTATCATACTATTCCCAAATCTTACATCATCATGGAACTCAACCATTATCTTGAAAATCACCAAGAAATTTTATCTTATTAAATCGCTTTCCTTTAAATTTTATTAAATTGGGGAAATACCCTTTCCCTTAGTACGCCATAATTACTTTTAACTCTACGTTGTTTACTTCCTATGGTCTTAATTCATAAAAATTCGGTAAACAAAAAGAAACCCTATAAGAAAATTTTATCCATAATTCGATAAATTTAATAAAAAATATTTATTTTGTTTAATCTCCTTAAATCTATCTCTTCCCTAAGTCATCAATTTAATTATCCTTATTTCAAACTTAAACCAATAAAAATATTAAATTGAAGAATATTGTATTGGCAAAAATCATTTTCTAAATATTTCAATTCTTATAAAATACAAGTTAATTTTTAAGAAATTTTTTTAAAAGAGAAAAACATAAAATTTAAATAAATTAAAAATTTATCGAGAAAAGTACTTATAGCAAATCTAAAATACACAAAATGTATAAATTATAAGACCTTGAATCTTTCAATATCGAGAGCAGAAAACATTTTATTTGAAATTTTAATTTAAAATTCAAAGAAAAATAGTTTTGTTTTCTGATTTTTTTTTTTTTGCTTTTTGGGGGTAGTGTTAACCAAGATTGTTTGTATGGAATTTAAAAATGAAATTAAATTGTAGAAATTTTCAATATTTGGTTTTATTGAAGTCATATTGTTTAGTTTTTATTTATTTAAAATATTTATGCAAATTCCAAAACAAAAAATGCATTTTAAGTGCAAATAATAAAGAAAAGTATGTTGAAATAGCAACATATTTAAAAATGTCAAGAATTTATTATTAATGTATGATAAGGGAGAGAATAGTGTTCTTTAAAAATAAAGAAAAGGTTGCCACACAGATAAATATAGCGAGAGTATAAAATAAATAAGAGAATATAATATTTGAATTTCTATATAGCAAATTGCTTACTTGGTGAGAAAATTTCATTCCAAGTTCTCTTTTATGAGGATTCACTTAGAAATTTCTGGCTCTTGACACTTGTAACTTGAAGGACATGACGATATAATTTGTTCTCCATAATGTATAAATTTTAAGTTTAAAGTTTGTAAACTTGAAAAACAATAAGAGGAAATTGAAAAAAATGTTTTAGTTTTAATAACGTACATTGGAGACTGTAAAAATTCTAATTTATTCCGATTTTAATACGGTAATATCTGAATTTATTCAGTTAGAACTCTCATTTGTTGAAAATTTAAGAGACATTCATAATCTCATAGTAATACGCTCATAGTTATTTTCCTATGTTTTTAAAGGTTCAATTCTTATATACATATACTAAAGTATTCAACATCAAACTCAGATTTTTTACTGTAATCATACAAGCTTTTTTTCAATTTAATACAAATAAAATCATACAAGTAACATCAAACAAATCATACAATACAAGTGACCATTATAACCATTATATATATACAAATTTTCTTGAAATTTGTCATAACCTGACAAGCCATATTTTGGGCAATTTGAGTTAGTGATAAAAAAGGAAATGCTAAAGAGTCAATCTTTGCTTTACCTGCATTCCATGAGCAAATTAAGAAATAAAAATATTAAAAGTTGTTGAAGCCATAACCAGATAATCCTAACTAATTAATTTTACGGAGTTGCAGAACTTCGATATTTACCTTATCGGGATTTACAAATTTCCTGATATCAGGTTATGGCTTATTTCCACAGAATTATAAAAATTTCTTAAAATTTCAACAAGTTGGCAACTCACAAAAATATAAGATAGTTCATAAATAACTTGTACTTATGTGTATCTTACTTAAGGATAATATCAAAATTTGTAATTTAAAATAACAAAAAAAAAAAAAGAGTATACAAAAATAAACTAACACACATACATGTGTTTAATATATAAAATGCAAATATGTACATTCAAAACATAAAAATACAATTTTATTTACTTAATGGGTTCAAAATTTATAAATATTTACTTGTATTATTGCTATTCAGTGTTAAAATTATTTTAAAATTTTGATTATTTTTAAACTAAATCGCACTTGTATAATTTGTTTTTCAAAAAAAAAATTAAATTTAATTTGGTATATAAATTTTAAATCACTTATAATGGAAGAAATGTAATTATCCTTAAGGGAAAATGAACCTGATTTTGTCAGAATTTAAAATACATAAAAGAAGTAACTTTTTAATATAGTTAAAAATTATCAAAATTTTGTTAAGTTTTTTGGTAGGTACTTATAAATCTAAAAATAACCCAATTAAAATTAATTTTTTAAGAAAAACAAACAAGAGAATTGCGTAGGTAGAATTATAAAAGATCCTTAAAAAGAAAATGAAAGTTTTTTTTACGTTTCTTAGTATAAATAAGTAAATAATTATTAAATTTGAAATCCAAAATAAAAAAAATAATGTTTCTAATAATAATGTTTGTGTGTATGCGTATGTGTGTATATATTTAGATTATAACCACAATTATTTTTACAAAGAATTTCTATATAAAAATACTTCCATTTCAAAATT